TTTTCTCAACTCTCACAGCCTCCGCCCTGGTCAAATATTTGCCTGAGGTATTATCAAGGAGGAAGCTGGTTCACTCAGGACGTGTTTAGGCAGCACCATATGGGGAGCAGGAGCCACGGAGCCTGGTTACTGCTTCCTTGCTCTGAGCCTGGGTTTCCCCGCTGCAGGCATGGGGGCTGTGGACGGTGGCAGGGGAGTCCGCTCTTCCTCCTTCACTTCCTGCCCCTGTCCAGACCCCGCCCCTCCCAGCTGTTCCCCAGGCTGGGCAGCTCAGGACCCCTGAAGCAGGTGTGGCCAGGGCCTCCCTGTCTCCTGCCTGGGCTCCTCATCTATCAGCCACACCAGCTGCAGAGAGGGCCTCCAAAGGGCAAACCCTGCCTCGCTTGGTGGGGCACGCTTGTAGTCCCAGCACCCAGGAGGCTGAGGCAGGAGGATCACTGAGAGTTCTAGGCCATCCTGGGCTGTATAGTAAGCTCAAGACCAGAACTACATAGTGAGAGCCTGCCTCAAATCTGCCCATATGCCCCCCTCCCCAGTTAAAAATCCTGGTGGCCTTTGCTCCTGCCCATCAGCTGGAGCTCTAGACCTAGAGGGGAGCAACAGGGCCAGCACCTGTGAGGGTCCCCCTGTAGCTGTGAGGTACAAGAGGACCATACTTTGGGGCCTTCCCTGGCCTTCTCCACCCCAAGCCACCTCCACCTTGAACCCCACTGTCCCTACCCCAGTGCCTGGGGTTCAGGCCTCTCTGTCGCCTTGCCCCATGCTGCTATCTCACCGCTCCCTCCAGCCCCTCCCCTCGCCTCGCTCCAGTTCACTCCCCAGGCATTGGTCAGGCCCAGCGTGGGCCCCGCCTTGCTCCGAGCCCCACTTCCCCTCCTCGGCCCCTCTCCCTCGTGGCCCCAGTCTGGCTGGGGACCCAGATCCCAGGCTCTGATCTTGCCCACCACGCATCGCTCAGCCCAGGGCTCGGCAGGACCCGGGGGCACACCAAGGGCCCTGGGTCACCCCCGCTGGGCCCAGAGTCCTCCTCCGTGCCCCTCCCCACCCCAGACTCCGGAGACAGGAATGAGTCACTTCCTGAGAGGGGACCCAGAGCCCAGTGGCCTTAGAGACAGGTCGGGGAGGCGGAGCTTGCCTGCCTCCCCACATACCAAAGGTTTTCTCCAAGACTTCCAACTCTCCCTGGTGCCAGATTCACTGGAGACTTTGCTGGCCTTCCCCATGCCCTGGCACGCGCAACCTTGTCAGAACCGGGCTGAGACCATCCCACAGGTGGGCAGCTCCCTGCTTTCCTCATCCTCCCCATCCCGGAGACGAGGACATGGCCCCCATGATTCCCAGGGCTTCCTCAGAACCCTGGTTAACAAGTAGGAGCCCCGTCATTCTGGTTCTTTGTCTGGTCTTTTGGTCCTGGACACCAGAGGTCCCTGTCCAGGTATCTGGATACCAGACTGGCAGCCGGGGGCAGGGGGAGCCAGAGCTCCTGGGGCCAGGCTGGAGGCCCTGCCAAGCACAGAGCTGGGCCGTTGAGGGGCAAGGAGCTGCCTCCTCAGCCTCCTGACCATGGGGCCCTGTGGAGACACCAGTCAGTCGGCAGGTGGTCCTGCCAAGAACTTTCTCCCCGAAACAGCCTTTCAGGTGTCCACCCTGCAGCCAGCCAGAGCCACCACCCCTAGCTCCCTCTGAGCCGTGGGTGTCAGGAAAACCCACCCCATCTGCCACCCAATTCCACCACCCTGTTGTGCTTCCTGATCTCCAGGACCCATGGGCACCTCAGTGCTGGCCCTAGTGAGCCCAGGTGCCCAAGCCTGGAGGATGGGAAGAAAAACGATTCCAAGGTGGCCAGGAACAGAGAAATGTGACTCAGTCTCCCTTAGGGAATGAGCTAGCTTTGGAGATCAATGCAACTTCCAACTTCTTCACATTTGGATGAATACAGTGCCGGTGGGTCTGGGAAATCAGTTACCTGTCCACATAGGTGGTCAGAGGGCAAAGTTCTCGCAGGTCACTTTGACTAGGCATTTCCTGTCATGATCACTCTATCGGTAATGGCCTCAAAGTTCTCTGCATTGAGACCCTAAATGGGCCGCCACGGCTTCTGCAATATGCTTGAAACCAAAACTTTGAAAAAGACACGTTTCTAATTAAATTATCTGAAAAGCATTTTTTTCCCCCAAGGAGACAGGAAGTGCAGGTTTGAGAGTCCCTGCTGCGGATCAGCACTGGCTGCTGCGGGCCACTCCCCGCCTGCCACGGTCACAGCAACATTCCCAGGTGTTCTCAGGACCCGTTTAAAGGTGTCATTAAAGCAGCCTACAGGTCTGATGCAATCCCCATCAAAACACCGGGTGACACTCTTCAAAGACAGGAAAAAACAATCCTGAAAGTCTTGTAAAAGCACCTAAGACCCAGAATAGCCAAAGCTCCCTGAGCAAGAAGAGCTAAGCCAGTGGAATCACAATACCCAGCTTCCAAACATATCCCTCAGCCATCCTAACGGAAGCAGCCTGGAACCAGCGCAGGGAGGAGGACAGGGAAACAGACCTTGGAACCCAAAGCAGCTGGTTCTGAACAAAGGAGCCAAAAATGCACGGGAGACAAGATGGTGGCTGTAACAGGTGGTGCAGGGGAAACCGGATCTCCACACGTAGGAGGTGGAAACTAGACCCTTGTCCCTCACCCTGCACGAAAGTCACTTCAAAATGGATTAAAGATGCAAAGGTAAGCTCTGGAATTTTGGAACCACTAGAAGAAAACAGAGGGGACCTGGGTACCAAAACCAAAAAGAAAACAGAGGGGAAACACTTGAAGTCCTAAGCACAGGCTAAGACTTCCTGAATGGACTCCAGTGAGTGGCCAGGAAATAATAGCGAGAATCAACGGGTGAGACTGGGTCAAATTAAAGAGCTTCTGCCCAGCAAAGGAAACAATCAGCAGAGTGAAGACTCAGCGACACGGTGAGGAAAACTTTTGCCAGCCACTCTTCCGACAGGATGAATGTCCAAGACACATAACAAAACAAACAAACAAAAAATCCCCCAACCCCCAAATAACACAATTAATAAACGGGCAAATGAACTGAACAGATACTGCTCAAGACAAGAAGTACAAAGGCCAAGAAGTAAAAAAATGTTCAACATTTTAAGCATTAAGGAAATGCAAATCAAAACTACATTGAGGTGCCAGCGCAGTGGCGCATCCCTGCGATCCCAGCACTCTGGGAGGCTGAGCCAGGAGGGTTGCGAGTTTGAACCCAGCCTGAGCAACTTAACAACCAAAAACGGGAGCCAGGGTGTGCAGCTGGGTGTGCAGCTCAATAAAAAGGCCCTGGGTTCGATCCCCAGCACTACAAAACCAAAACCAAACAAAAACATGCTGGTGAGGAGGAGATGCGGTGTGCACAGCTGGTGGGAATGTGAAATGGTACAGCCGCTGTGGAAATTGGTGTGGAGGGTCCTCTTAGAACGAGAGCTACCATTGGGCTGGGGATTTAGCTCAGTGGTTCTGGTGCCTGCCTCGCAACCGCAAGGTCCTGAGTTCGATTCCCGGTACAAAAAAAAAAAAAAAGAACTAGAGCTACCATTTGATCCAGCTGTACCTACAGAAGGAGTTGAAGGCAGCATACTTAGGGACACTCAAACACCTGGCTTAGTGCAGCTCAACTCACAATGACCAAGATGCGGAACCAGCCTAAGCACCGTCACCAGATGTGTGGATAAAGAAAACGCGGCATAACACACGGCGGAGCCATTCAGCCAGGGAGAGGAACAAAGTCGTGTCATTTGCAGGAAAATGGATGGAACCACGGGTCACCATGTGAAATGAAACACGCCAGACGCAGAGAGCCAAATAATCACACATTTCCTGTCCTGTGTGGGAGCGAGAGCGAGAGAGAGAGAGAGAGAGAGAGAGAGAGAGAGTGTGAAAGTAGAAGGGAGACTTAGAGGAGAGAAAGGAGTGAGCGGACTGCGGCTGAACAACACAGCTGATGGACATTACCATGGGCCGAGCTGTCAGAGCGCAGCCCGCCAGTCCCCTAACTACCGCACGCACCCAGAGAAGTGTCAGACGGCTTTTCTCCCTCAGGCCCACGCAGGTGTTACTCCAGCAGGGCAGCCACAGTCATCAGCGTCCCTCCCAGGCCCAAGTCCATCCGGAGAGCCAGGTCCTCTGCACTCCCACTTTGCAAGCCTGCTCTGCAACCCTAGAAAGCGCTGTCTGATGCTGTTTCAGCCTGGTTTCCGGTCGGTCTCTGGGCCGCTGCAGGGGTCGCCCCCGCCTGAGGTCCCCCCTTCCTGCCCCAGTGGTGACAGCTGGTCTAAGGGACCTCCTCCGGGAGACACCATCTGTAGACTGGCAGCCGTGGTGACCAGTTGCCTGAAATCTTGTCCCAGAGCCACCTGTAGCTTGGCAGGAAGTGCAGTGGCTGACAGTCACCAGTGGGGCCACGCTGCACCTCCACTGGGGAAAAGGTCAGCAAAGCAGTGTATCCGCTTACAACCAAGCCCCCTGTGCACCACTGGGTTAAACTCCTAGCACCCCGAATGGCAGAGGCCCAGGGGGCCTGGGGATCTGGGCCACTTGTTGGAGTACAGCATGCTGGGAGAGGCCAGGGCAGGACTTGAACCCAGGCCCTGGCCTTTCGAGGCCTGCATATCTGCTCCTTTAGCTGCTGTGGTTGGGGGTGGGGTGGATAGAGGGGTCAGCTGCTTCTCCGAGTAACCAGGCTGTTCTGAGAAGGGGGTGACGCGCCCTTCCAACACCCAGTTCGTTCCCCTCCCAGACATTCTGTCAGGTCCTGGGTGCCCATCTGCGGTCGGTTGGGCTGAGTTAATAGGCAGGGCAGGGCCCGTCACTCATGACTCACTCAACAAACACGCAGCAGGCCCGAGACGGCATGTGCTGCCCGAGGGAGGGGAGGGGAGGGGAGGGGAGGGCCCTCTGACTCAGGGTGACTCCCACACAGCCAGGCCCAGCAGCGTGGCTCCTCGGTGGCCGGGGCAGGGGACGCAGCGGAAAAGGCCAGCACTGTGCCCTGCTCGCCCCACCCTCTGTGTCAACAAGGCGGGCCTCATAAAGCCTCTGAGGCGGCCCGGGCCACATTTCCTCCTTGGCCTAACCAGCCCCAAGCCAGGCAGCAGAGTTGGCACCATGACGGAGCTGGAGACAGCCATAGGCTTGATCATTGACGTCTTCAGCCGCTACGCAACCAGCGAGGGCAGCAAGCAGAGCCTGACCAAGGGCGAACTGAAGACGCTGATGGAGAAGGAGCTCCCCGGGTTCCTACAGGTGGGGCCTGGGGTGGCGGATCTTAGAAGGTGCAGCTGCTGCTGCAGGGATGAGTCTGGACCCCACGTGGGCACACGGAGCATCCGTGCAGGGAGGGAGGGAGGGCCCAGCTGCTTCCCCGTAGGGCCCTGGTGGGATTCAAACCTGAGCAGTGGGGTGGGGCTTGGAGGAGAGTCCAGGGCCATCCCTGAGCCATCCGGGGGCGCTGTCCCTCTCCAGGGCTGCCGTCCACTTCCCGCTGCCCAGGCCCCTTGTCGCCTGGAATTAGTGGGGATGGCAGGAGCAGGGCAGAGAGGATCCATGGAGGCCCCGTGCGCCTGGAGGCTCGGCCTCCCTGGGAACCTCAGAGACAGTATGGAGTCACAGGTCTGGCGCTCAGGGAGGCCCTGGCCCAGGAGCAGCCTGCCTCTCCCCCAGCAGCCGGGGAAGTCTGAGTCAAGCCCTTTCCTGTCCCTCACCTCTCCCCCTTCCTCTCCTCCGCCCTCCATCTCCCTGTCTCCTGTGCTTTCAGGGCCCTCAGCTCCTGCCCACAGCTGAAAATGAAGGTCCACAGGGTTCAGCCCAAAGCAGTCCTTCAAGGGTGCTCAGCGCCTCCAAATGTTAGGGCTCTGGTTCCCAAATATGAACGCAAGGAAGACACTTTTTTTGAGACAGGGTCTCACTATGTAGTCCAGGCTGGCCTTGAACTTACCGGTGATCCTCCTGCCTCAGCCTCCCAAGTGCTAGGATTACAGGAATGTGGCACCATGCCCAGCCACGATTGGCTATTGTTTCAGATTTAACATTACAGCGTAAATTCTCACACCCGTGCTCATTGGACACATCTGCCCCATGCTGGGAACTCATGCATTGGGTGTAGATGTCTTGATGAGCATCTAATTTGAGGATTTAATGCTTGGGGATTTTGATCCAAAACATTGATTGGGGTCAGAGACAGTGATGGAGGGGGAGAGGTTCTTTTTTGAGACAAGGTCTCACTATGTAGCCCAGGCTGGCCTCGAACTCCTGATACTCCTCCTGCCTCAGCCTCCTCAGTGCTGGGACTACAGTCGTGAACCACCACGCCCAGCTACCTTCGAACAGCTTTGAGGACCAGTGCCTAGGCTAAGGAGTCTCCAAATTGGTTCCGTCAGAATCACCAGGGGGAACCTGCGGAACCAGAAGGCCAGGGCGCTCCAGCAGGCTGGCCCTGGGCCCTTTCCCACCCTCCCTCCTCATCGTTCTGAAGCCTGGCGGGAGAACAAGGGCCACCTGGGGGCGGGGACCGGGTGGCCTTGAGGGCCTCCTTCCCCGGCGCCCAGCCCGGCCCGGCGCCCGGAGCTCAGCGTTTCCCAAGCCCCGGCTGTCCCTGTGGCTGGGAGCAGGGAGGCCTGGCGCGTGGGCGCAGCGCCGCTTCCTGCTGAATTCCCAGCGCCCTTCCTTCTGCGCGGGTGGTCAGCGCCCCCTGCTGGCGACGTGCAGACCTGAGCGCTGGTCTGGTCGCCCCTGGTCCCGGGATGGGGCGGGGGCGGGGGGGGGAGTTCGTCCAGGCTTTCAGACCCCCAGCCTGACCCTCTCAAAGAAGGTCCGGGACCTGGGTGCTCCAGCCAGGTGGCGGAGCAGAGAGGAACAGCAAGACTTCTGCGCTCCCTCCACACCTAGGGCTCCTCCCTGTGTGACCTCTGGCGGGTCCCCTGGGCCTCGGGTGACCCTGGGGCTCTGCAGCCCTAATCGTCCTCCTTGTGACACAGAATGCACCTTCCTTGCCCGGGGCTGTGAGGACCACGGGTGGCTGTGAAGTGTGCTCGGTGCAGGCAGCAGGGACACATTAACTCAGCGGGGCACAAGAAGTTGCGAAGTTCCTGGGGACTATCACGTTACAAATCCAAAAGCTGTCCCCTTCGGCACCAAACCCCCTCTTGCACAGCATAATCCGATTCAAACGTGGCCTAAACAATTATAGGTTCAGTTCAAGGCAGGGATCTGAGGGCACCTTAGGACCTCTAAAGCCTGCCCACCCGGAGGCTGGGCCCCTCCAGCCCTGCAGGACATCCATGTCGCTGACTCTGGGCCTCTCTCTCTAGAGCGGAAAGGACAAGGATACTGTGGACAAACTGCTCAAGGACCTGGACGCCAACGGAGACGCCGAGGTGGACTTCAACGAGTTCATGGTGTTTGTGGCCACGCTCACTTCCGTCTGTCATAGTTTCTTTGTGAAGGCAGGACCCGTATGAAGCCCTGGGCTGCAGATTCCTGGCCAGCCGGTGCGTCAGGGGCTGGGGGCGGGTCCCTGGCTTCCAGGAACACTTGCTGCCAGGGCTGAGCCTGCTGCTGGTGTCGCTCTGATGAATAAATGCTTGTCAGATGGTACCGGTCTCATTTCCTTTAAGCCTCAGTGTCTTCCTCTCACAGAAACAATTTGCCATGGGCTCCCACCCTGATAGAACCACGAGCATCTTGGTTGTAGCCTCCCTGTTGCCCGTCTGGTGACACATGCGTCCCAAACCCAACAGGACAAAAAAGTTGTTGAGATAGTCATCCAAGTGTGGTGGACAGGCTACTGGCACCCACAGTTTTGTAACCAACTGTGGATGTGTTGACAGTTCTTAAGCAAAGCCAAGTCCATCCTGGTTGGCCACGGCCTGGCCCTGTCCAGCTTAACATGTTCCCTCCCTTCTGTCTGCTGCCTCCGACACACCTCTGTGGTCGGTCCCCACTGAATCCCACTCTGCTGCCCTAGATCTGCCTTCCTTCTGTCTTCTGGCTCCTTGCATGGTGGTTCTCAGTCACCGAGACCAGCTTTATGTTTGGGGTCTTTTTCCTCTAATTTTTGTTTTTATTAGCACACGTTGCAGTTCATGCTGGCCACATTCATCATGGGGAGGTGGAGCATGTGCTGAGCCATCTCCATTCTTTTTCCTCCGCCACCTCTCGGTCCCTTTCCCACTGCAAAAGATCCATCTCCCTGTTTCCTAGTATCTGTCTTTTATTTTGCTCTTAATTGACACATTGGGTTTCTCACATAAGAGAAACATTCACTGTAACATTCACTAATTGAATTTGTCATTTCATTCCTCACCGCCTGCCCAGCAGGGGGATGGGTCAGCAGGTAGGAAGGAGTCTATTCTCAGGCCCTCTGCTGAGCACCTGCCCCATGCCCGCCCCATGGCTGAACCCAGTCCCTGGCCCAGGAATTCACCAGCGTAGTGACGGCTGCTGCACTGGACCCAAGGGAGGGTCAGGGACTTGCAGCCACCCATCTTCGAAATGAGCCACACAGTCTGTCCATCCAGGTGTCCGTCCTCCGGCCACACCATGGTTTCTCAAGCAACACATTTTGAATGATGCAATACTACTTTTGCCACACATAAAAAACATAAACCAGTGGCATTTGGAGAGAAGGAATGAATGGCGAGCAGGGATGAGCAGGGCCACAACTTGCATGCCAGCTTTCTGACTCAGCTGAAGGAAGCAGCCTAGGCCACTCAGGGAGGTGGCACACACGCGGTTGGTAACCGCATCTGGTCTCAGGGTCCCTGGCATTTTGAATACCCAGCACCCAAAGCCTCTTCTTATGTTCCCCAGAGAGGAGACAGCTCCGAGGTCCTGAGCTGGGAAGGGGACACAGGGACTCGGGGCCTAGCTTGCTCCCTCTTCAGGGAGGGGACCACAGGGTTTTGCAGGGGTGGGGATTGTCACACTCATGTCAAGAGAGGATGAAAGGTAGAATTGCAACTCAGGGTGGGAGGCCAACAGGTGCCCTACAAAAGGAATCTTGTTTTCTTTTTTCTTGCTGCTTAACAGATCAGTCAACATCCTGCAGATGACAAACAACCTGCTTCTTAGCTCTGGAGAGAGGCCAAGCCCAGGACGCTGCCACAAGCCTGGTCAGCTTGGAGCCCGGCTGCACTCAGAGCGGGGTGCAGGGCCCTGGGGCCCGGACTCGGGCAGCAACACCAACATGGGGACCCCCCCGCCCCGAGCCCCATGGTGCACAGCAGGGCTGCAGGCAAAGTCCCAGCTCTGCAGCTCTGAACCTGGCTCCGCAGGACACTGAGAGGCTCTGGGGACTCTGTAGCCACTGACCCCGCTCCACCAGCCCAGCCTGCCACAGTCCAGCACCCTGAGCAGGATGCAGACGCCTCAGCCCTCAGGGACGAAGTCCTGCCACCTCCCGGGACGCCTGGTGCCTGGTCCTTTCGAAGCAGAGCCCAAGTCAAAACAGCACGCATGCCACCTTGTTACTGTCCACAAAGGGTAGCTAGGGATTGAACTAGGGAGTACTCAGCTGCATCCCAGCCCTTTTGGTTTTTTAATTTTAACACAGTGTCTCACTAAGTTGTCCCATCTGGCCTCGAACTTGCAATCCTCCTGCCTTGGGCTCCTGAGTAGCATGGATTACAACCATGTGCCACCATGCCCAGTTTAGACTACACTTCTTAAAGATTCCCTCTCAGTGCCATCATGAGAGGCATGAGGCCTCCAGCAAAACCTCTGGAGGACAGACCACACTGTACAAGATTACGATGGTAAAGGAGAATTTTGTTTGTTTGTTTGAGACAGGGTCTTGCTACGTACATAGCCCAGGCTGGCCTCGAACCCACGGTGATCCTTCTGCCTCAGCCCTCCCGATTACAGGCATGTGTCACCATGCCAGTGAGAATTGTTTTTTATCATGGTAAAAACTCATAACTTTATATATTTACCACCTTAACCATCTCCAAGAGCCTCAGTAGTGTCAACAGCTGATTGGTTTTGGGGGTGTTTTTTTGCTACCGGGGGTCGAAGAGACCTCCCAGCCTTGCGCTTGGGAAGCAGATGGCACCACTGAGCTAAATCCTGGCCCCCTATTAACAGCTGATGGTAACAGAACTCTAACAGCCCCTCCCCTCAAGCCCTTGGCAATCCTTATTTCACTTTTGGTCTCTATGAATTTGTATCCTGTAGGAATCGCCCATGAGTGGAGGCACATGGGGTTTGTCCTTTTGTGACTGGCTTATTTCATTCAGCATAACGTCCTTGGGCTTGACTGTATTGTAGTAGGCTTCAAAATTCCCCTCCTAGGGCTGCGGATTTAGCTCAGTGGTGCTGCTGCCTGCCTCGAAAGCTCGAGGTCCTGAGTTTGATCCCGGTACCAAAGAAAGAAAAATTCCCTTCCTTTTTCTGGCTGAGTAATATTCTGCAGAGTGCATACAACTCGTTTGCTTATCTACGTGTCTGCTGATAGATACGGGTTGCTGATGGAATGTTTCTAAACAAAATATTTAACCTGCTAAATGTTTCTCCCCTGTCCTGCTTGGAAGACAAGTAGTGGTCATTTCCCAATTGAACCTGTAGATGATTGGATTAGTGATGTCTTCCAGCTGGGCAGCCACACCTGAGACCCAGGCACTTCCAGGTCGCCAGCGCCACCTGCCGCTGCTCCGCAGAACTGCTCCTTGGGCCAAGCTCTGAATGAGGGCAGAATGAAGTTTAGGAGCTGGGGCTGCAGTCGCTCTGTGCTCTGACAGGGCCGGAGGACCCATCTCCAAAATGCCTTACTCGTGAGCTCGTCGGAGAGAAGCTCTCCCCTAGCTTTTGGACCAAGGCCTCAGTTCCTGGCTAAGTGGGCTTCTCCATAAAGCTACTGCAAACAAGGCAGCTGGTTTTCCCTGGAACAAGTGCTTGGAGAGGAAAGAATGTCATGGTAGCTTTTATGGACTAACCTCCTAGTCACAAACTATCGCTCCTTCCTTTCCTATTTATGATGAGCATTTACACACTCAGCAGGAGGGAAAAACCAGGAGTGTAAACACAAGGGGGTGGAGGTCACTGGGGGTATCTTGAAGGCCAGGCAGCAACTGCAGTCTCCCCTCTGCCTAAAGCTTCATGTCCTTCCAGCATGCAAACCACACTTGCTCCCACCCAACGTTCCCAAATGTTATTTTTTAAAAATTCATGTAGTTTTATGTATTAATATCCTTATAGTTGTAGCATCAACTTCAAGTGCAGAATTTTGTCTTCCAAATTAGGTCTCATCAGATGTAGATGAGACTTCCTGAGCATAGTCCCTTAAATTCAGCTTCGAGAGTACATTCTTCTCGACATGTAGACCTCTACAACTAGAGATAAGTTATCTGCCCCATGCATCCAATGTACAATTGTGGGTGAGTGTACTACTACATTACACCTGTACTATTACATCTGTAACCATTACAGATGTTCTTGCTTTTAAAATTGGGGAAGGGCAGGAGATTTAGCTAGGTGGTGCCACGCCTACCCCGAAAGCGCAAGGTCCTGAGTTCGATCCCCAGTACCGGGAAAAAAATTGGGGAAAATAGGAGGCATAAATAACTCATTAGTCCAAAGGAATGCTGCAACCCATTCTCCAGGTTTAGGAACAATTCTCCACCACCCTCACTTCTGCTCTCTGGGCTCTTGATTCTGTGTCATGTTTCTGTGTTAGCTTTCCATCAGTGTGGGGCAAGACACCTGAGAGAAACAACATAAAGAAATAGTTTTAGTGCTCCTCATGGTTGCAGAGTGTTCAGTCCATGGTAAGCTGTTTCCATTACTTTTAGGCCTGTGGTGAGGCAGAAACATCATGGCGGAAGGATGTGGTGGAGGAAAATTGCTTATCCCATGGCAGCCAGCAAGCAGAGAGTGTGAAAGAGCCAGAGAGGAAGGGGTAAGGGACAAGATAGACCCTTCGAAGGCGTCCTCTCAGTGACCTACCTACCCCAATTGGGCCCCACCTCCTAACAGCCCCATCAGTCTAGTGGATCAGTCCTCTTGATAAAGTTAGAACCTTGATGATCCAATTAGTCCCCTGGAGGCCATCAGATGACAGCCAGGCCTTCAACATGATGAGCCTTTCAGGGGACATTTTGGATCCCAATAGAACACTTCCTTTTTCATGAAAAGTAGCTTGCGTTTGTTGATGGATTGTTTTCTGTCTGCTTTTTGTAGAGGTTTGAGGAGTCCAAGTGGAGTGGAGTGGCACACATCTGTAATCCCAGCACTCAGGAGGCAGAAGTAGGAGGATTGCCAATAGTTCTAGGCCAGCCTGGGCTATGTAGAGAGATTCTGTCTCAAAAAAAAAGTTTGAGGAGTGTTATTTCTTCTATCTAGATGTCCCCCAAAGCCTCATGCAGTGTTAGATGGAGCTTTTTCAGAGGCATCTGAATCTAGAGTGTGTGATAAATTCATGGTATAATGTTAGGCCTGACGGCACTAGGATTAAGGATGTGAGTGCTACCCACCCTAAGTAGTATGAATAAAATAAAAGGGGAAGAGCAAGCTATGGTCATCCCTATTGCTTTTGCTACCTTGTGGCTGCCATGAACTGTTCTCCTCTGGGATGCCCCTCTGCCATACTACCCTGTGTTGGAGCAGCTGATTATGGACTAAAACTTCCACAAACTGTGAGGTAAATAAACCCTTTTCCCTTTAACTTCGAATTCCGGGTATTTTGTCAGCAATGAGAGAAGTAACTAAGACAAGGAGTCCACAGGCCTTTCTTTTTGCATCATGTCTGTCCCTTTCAGTCCACACTGCAGTGTTTGTGCCAATATAGTAATATATAAAACTTTGTAGGTTTCCTGTCCATTTCACTGAGGGTTCGTTCCATTAGACAAAAGCTTCACTTACAAAATCCTGCGAAATGAGGCCATCTGGGTCTTGAGCTCCCACTGGTAATGCTGAAGAACAAGCCTTTAAACCTCCCAGAGACTCCACCAATGGAGGCTCTGTGCAGCTCATCCTAAAATTCTAACAATTGGTAGGTCTAACTGCATGGTATTGGTGCTATAGACAGCTAAGTTAGGTAGAAATACGATAGGCAGTCAGATAGGGTGGTACCCTGGAGAAAGTCAGTCCAAGAGATGAAAACACATGCGCATGAGTTGGAGGCCAGGCCTCAAAATAAAGACAAAATGACCAGGCCTGCACACTTCCCCAAGGGTAACCCCTTGTCTAATGAACTCTAGATAGACCTCAGCCACCTCAGGAGGTGACCAAGGCCCTCGGGCCAACGCCTTCCTGAAAAGTCCTTTTTCTTTCCTTATACACTTGAAATGCGACATGCTCCCCCACTGGATCACTATTCCCTGAGTGACTATACCTGTGACCCTGTTGATCATAGCTTTAATTCACATTGTACCCACGTGGTTATGCTTTATAAAACTTCCCTTGAAAAGTGGGGCCCCCAGTCAACTATTCAGGATCTCTCCTGCCTCTCAGGAGCTAAAAATCTCTTCTCTCAATAAATATTTCCTACTCTTAACCTCCATTGTTCCTTAGAATTTATTCAATTTGGGGAAACACAAACTCAGCATATCTGACATCTAACAGGTTGGGAGTTAAAATATTTTCCCTATGTCATTTGGAGGTCTGGTGTCTCTCCTCTATCATTAGGAGTCACCACCTTTTTTGAGATTGCTTTTGAGATTTTCAAGGATTTTACGGTCGTAACTCAACCTTCGTCTTCATACTTCTGGAAGTACCTTGGATATGACCTTAGTTTAGATGCTACTTTTAATTTTACATCATTTGCAGTCTGAAGAGGTTGAGAGCTTTCAAAGTCATCAAGATCATTCCATGTTTTGCAGACCTTGGTTTTGCTTGTCTCTTTTTTTACACTCAGCAAAGAAAAAAAGGGGCAGGGAGGGCTCCCGCATAAGCGTGGACCATATTGTTTATGATGATCTAGACAGCGATTACAGGGTTGCATCGCTATGTAAGAAAGCATCCACATGCACACTTAGGGTTTATGCACTTTTATTGTATTTCTCTTACACTTTCTTTAAGGATCAGTGCCTGGGCGCAGACCTAGGGAATCAACCACTTGCCCCAGCACGTTCGGGAACCGGAAATGGAAAGAGCATGCGCAAGCGTGCGTGATGGCGGCTGGAAGCGGAGGCGGTAGGAGCGGAATCAGTCCGAGCTCGGGGTGGGACTGGGGCGGGACTGGGGCGGGACGCACCTGCGCCGGAAGCAGGGTCGTGCGTGCGTGGGCGGAGCCGCGGGGGGCCGCTGCACCGGAAGCCCGGGCCATGGACGGTCGCCCGGAGGGCGGAGGGCCGCCACTCGAGGTGCCCGCGGAGGACGCTGGGCCGCAGGCTCCTTCCTGGAGTGGGGACAGTGGCAACGTGTCGCAGAGCCACAGCAGCGCCTCGGGGCCGTGGGAGGACGAGGGCGCCGAGGACGGCGCGCCCGGTCGCGACCTGCCATTACTGCGCCGCGCCGCTGCGGGCTACGCCTCCTGCCTGCTGCCCGGGCCCGGGGCGCGGCCCGAGGTAGAGGCCTTGGACGCCAGCCTCGAGGACCTGCTGGCCCGAGTGGACGAGTTCGTGGGCATGCTGGAAATGATCCGCGGGGACTCGTCGCACGTCGTCGGCGAGGGCGTGCCCCGGATCTACGCCAAGGCCGCGGAGATGAGGCGCATCTACGGCCGCATCGACAAGCTCGAGGCCTTCGTGCGCATGGTGGGCGGCAGCGTGGCCAGGATGGAGCAGCAGGTCGCCAGGGCCGAGGCCGAGCTGGGCACCTTCCCTGGCGCCTTCAGAAAGCTCCTGCACACCATCAGCGTGCCCTCCTTGTTTAACAAGCCGGCCCCTGCGAGGACGCAGCGCAGCGCCTATGAGCCCCCTGCCCTGTTTCGGACCGAAGACCACTTCCCCTGTTGCAATGACAGGCCCCTGCTCTGATCCGCCGGCCCCTGCTGGAGGAGGACCCAGGGGAGCCCCTGAGCCTGAGTATTAATTAAAAACCCTATTAATTTATGCTTGGGAGTATGGAATTTTAAAGTTTCTTTTCTGAGAACTCTGTTTCTCAGTATCTTCATTGTTTCACATAGGAAGTGTAGATTTTTTTTATGTCTTCCAATTCTACTCGGAAAGCTGCTTGGATAGTGCGGTGCCCGTGTACTTCCAGCTACGCAGAAGGATTGCCTGAGCCCAGGAGTTCGAGCCCAAGCTAGACCGCCTCGTGACACCGTCTCCAAAGCGAGAAAGAAAAGATTCAGTGGAAGCTGCTCGGTGTGGGGAGTGGAGAAGCAAAATGAATGAGCGCATCTCCACGATGTGGTAGAACTCTTATTTTTATGGACTTTGCTAATCAACTAACAGTATTACCCATTCAAGATTTATATATTTATATAATCGCAAGAAAAATGAACCATTAAAGCCTATTATTATTCAATCCTAATAGTGATTCGATTTTCCATCGCCTGTCTTAAGGAGAGATGGTACATTATTTAGCATTTAACTTTACATAGCGTACATTGTATCTTTTTTCCCCCATAGCATACATTGTCTTTTTTTTTTGTACCAGGGATCGAACTCTAGGGACCTTGTGCTTTCGAGGCAAGCCGCGGTGAGCCACTGAGCTAAATCCCCAGCCCTGTCTTGTTTGTTTTTTGAGACAGTGTGTCAGTATGTTCAGGCTGACCATAAACTTGCTAAGTAGCCCTGGCTGGTCTCAAACTCACAGAAATACTCCTGCCTCAGCTTCCCTAGTCCTGGGATTACAAGCATTCACTACTATGCCCGGCTCATAGCATGCATTGTAAATGGAAAGAAACTTGACAATTTTTAAGAAAATACATTGGTTCTTTGCAGTGAATTCCAAAGCTGTGTTTGAAAGAATGACCTCACAGTGTCCATTTATTCATAACAAACACATCTATATATGATTGCCAATGTTTGGTTTGTAACTTAAGCATCACTTAAAATTTTAATTTTATAAGAAAGCTTTCCTTTTGAAACAGTCTACTTATTCCCCTTCTTTGAAAGTAAGCACATTACTTGTGTGGTTTTAGTGGTGGGAATAAAGGAAAGTGGCTTGGGAGTACCCCCTTTAGAAGGCTGAAATGTGCCAGGCATGGTGGTGCACGCTTGCAATCTTGGGAAGCTACTTGGGAAGCTTAGGCAGGAGGATGGCAAGTTTGAGGCCAGCCTGGGGAATTCAGTCAGACCGTGTCTAAAATGTTTAAAAAGTTTTAAAGGTTTGAGGATGTAGCACAGGGGTAGAGCACTCGCTCATGCAACGTGCACAAGACCTTGGATTCAATCCCAGTATCACTGAAACAAAAAAAGGCTAACATGAAAAACTAACCTTAGCTGCTGTTTCATAGCACTATTTACTTCATCCCACGGATTTGTGTGACGGAATGGTGATGGGGAGCCTGTTGACATGAAGCATTAAAAGGTCCCTTGCAGGCAGGCTTCCTTGTGTACTTTAGTCAGCTTTGTGGGTGGTCCTCCTAGACACTAGACCTCAGATTAGCGCTCAGTTTAGGTTACTTTTTTTTTTTTGGTACTGGGGATCAAACTCTGGTCCTTGCACTTGCGCAGCAGGCAGTGAAAACCACTGAGCTCAATCCCTGGCCCAGTTTAGGTTACTTTTGTGTCAGCCCAGATCGTTGAAGTTGACAGAGATATTTTCACTTATATCTGTCTCAGCTTTCATGGATTTTTTTTTTTTTTTTTTTGAGACAAGGTCTCACTATGCAGTTCAGGCTGGCCTTAAACTCAATATGTAGCCCAGGCTGCCCTTGAACTTGCAGCGATCCCCCTGCCTCAGCCTCCCAAGTGGTGGGATTACAGGCGAGCGCCACCACACCCC